CAAGCCCGCCTCAACCCCCAATCACAAGGCAACTCTGCAACTTGTCCCTGTCTTTAACAGCCACTTATAGTATCTGGAGAGATAACACATAGCGATAAGATTGATAACCTCATTTTCTTACTTAAACTGCGGAAGTGGGAACGCTGCAGCATCCTTAGCTGGCCACCGAAACATCTAACATTAGATAGCCCAGTGTACTGTGAGAATAATGCACATCTTTAAACCCACGTAAAAGAAACCTGGCAGATTAGATTATTTTTCTGGCAATTGGCAAATCCATAAAAAAAAACCCAGCCAGGTGGTAACCCTAACCCCAGTCAATGGCCACTAGGGCGTAGTCCAGGAGGAGACAGAGAATGCGAACCCAGATCTTACTGATGCAATCGACCAAGCGGTAGACACAGAGGAACTGTCTGATTCACACCCGGAGGTAGAAGCTGGATCACGGGCACGGACCCAAACCGGGGAGGAGGGCCACTCCCAGTAAGTATTGCCTGGTATATAACAATACACCGCCGTCAGAGGCGGATTAACGTTGTGTGAGGCCCTGGGCCAGAGCAAGTGGGGGCCCCTTCCTACCCCCTCTGCTTGCGGTCCTGCCCTCATTCCACCCCTCCCCCCTGCGGCCCTGCTGCCTTCCATCCAGGGTCCCCCTCCCATTCTGCCCCCCCCCTGGGGCCCCACACCCCCGTTTGCCCCTTTTCCCCCCCCCCCCCACTGCAGCCCCAAGACCAGAGAAGCTCTGTCCCCCCTGCCACGGCCCTGGGGCCGCAGCGGGGAGTGAGAGCTCTGCCAGTCCCAGGAGCTGGGGCTTCTGCCAGCACTTCCTCTGGCTACTTCTACAACATTCGCTGGTTGCCGGTTTGGCCTGGTGCTTGTCCACTGAGCAGCTTCCCTGCACTGAGGGTAGGAGACGGTGGTCTCTGATCCGCCCCCCAAGCCAGCACTGGGTGATGCAGGCTCGGCAGAAATTGTGCCTGCAGTCTATAATCATCACCGGGTCTTTAAAATAATCCAGGCAGATGAAACATGAGATACCCAACTTGGAGCAGCCACTGGGAGGGTTTCCCTGCCTGGAACTGACTCATAGTCAGCTGATCTCCTCAGAGTTTACTTTTTTAAAGTGACAGCCCCTCCAGTGAGCAAGGGAACCTGATCTGCCTAGGGAGCACTAGTAAATACACAGGCCACGGCCTGGTTCACCGGGAGCTACTGCTGTGAGAATCTACTTGAATTGTCCTGGAGAGTCTCCAGGAACTGGAGATTAATCTTTAACTAAAGCAGGGGCGTGCACCGGAATAAAAATTTGGCTGCGTTTGGAGGGGCACTTTCTGTGCCCCCTGCGGTCGGGGGAGCTTCCCCCGTGGCTGGTGGAGCTCACTTTTCCTGGGCAGCCGGAGGAGCTGGATCTCCCGCCCCAGCCTGGGGACAGAGGAGCTCCCACACTCTGAACTCTTCATTTCTGCCCCCCCCCCCCGGCCCCCCCCCCCCCCCCCCCCCCCGGGACAGCCTTAGGGGTAGGCCACCTGGGCGACTGCCCCGGGCGCCATGGTCAAGGGACGCCGTGCAGCAGCGCAGACGTGCGCTGGGCTGGTGTAGAGTCAGAAGCTGCTCCCGGCTGGCAGGGCAGTGCTGCATGCGGGGGGCACCCAGCACCCAGATTTCGCTCTGCTTCCTCCCGGCGGGGGGACATGGGGGGGGGGGGGGGGGGGGATTCCCCGGGACCGCCCCCCCCCCCCCCCACAATGTTCCTCCATTGGGGCCTGTAAGGGGGGGAGTGAGGAAGAACACCAAGCGCTCCGAGCATCCAGGTCACTCTCCCCACCTGGACTGCTGCTCTCCTATCCTCCCCTTACCCAGCCCAGCTGGGGAAAGTGACCAGGATGCTGGGAGCCCTGACACTGCTCCTCGCTCCCCCCATCACAGCCCCCTGGAGGGGAGCGAGCAGCAATGCCAGCTGCTCCGTGCATCCAGGTCAGTTTCCCCATGTGGGTGCAGGAGGGGGATGCGGGGTTAGGGGTGAAGGAGGGTGCAGGGATTAGGGGCGCAGGAGGGGAGTGTAGGGGTTCAGGACAAAGGGGGCACAGTAGAGGAATTGGGGGCAGGGGTTAGGAGCGCACGAGGAGGGTGCTGGAGTTATGGGCAAAGTGGGCACAGTGCAGGGGTTAGGAGTGAAGGGGATGGGGAACCTGGGGAGCCCACAGGAGCCGGGGCAATGGGGGGGGTGCCACACCCGTAGGGGCCAGGGGTACCAAAATACAAATTTCTCAGGGCGCAATTTTCCCTAAGACTGGCCCTGAGGAGCTTGCTCTCCCTGCCCCAGCGGACTTCTGTGCCCCCACTGATTGGGGGGGCCTGTGACCCTGCTTCCCCTCACCCTGCACATGCCTCTCAATTAAAGATTATGTCATGTGATGAATATGTCCAACCAAAATTGGCAACCCTAGAATCTATCCCTTACCGTGGGGGAAAACCTTGGGGGAATGGTGGTGCTGCCTTACAAAGCATGGCTCGGTTAAAGTCCCCTGAATGCAGGGCAATTCCAGGGCCCCTAGCCACACCTTGGCCTGGTTCCCTCTGCAGCCCTGCCCCAGAGTGGCAGGGAACCCCCCCTTTTCTTCTTGGGCAAGCCACGTCCCCTCCCTGTGCCTCAGTTTCCCCACCTGTACAATGGGTGTAATGCTATTGCCCTGCTTTGTAAAGAACTTCGGGCTCTACTGATGCAAAGCACTAGGTAGGAGCTAGATTTGTTATTATCTGTCAGGAGCAGCAGCAGTGAGCTTTCTCCCCTGGGGAGCAGCAAGAAGCGCCTCTCCTCTACAGAAAAGCAGTACGGGGGCACTGATCCACACTCACACACATACATTCATATGCAGCTGAGATGTCTTTGCTTGGTGGTGGGGGGAGGCTGTGCTATTCCCTTCTTACCACAGACAGAATCCCCTGCTGGGGTGGGGTTGGTAGCTGGCCCCTTTCCCCGAGGACTGGGGCTGGGAGTTAACACCCCTATTGAGTTGCACAAGGTGGTTCCCTCCGCTCAGAGCTATTCTCTCAGGTTCTCTGAAAACTTGGGCAGACATTGCTCCATTGGTTAAACTCAGGGCATTTCTCCCCCCCACCCCCAGAGCTATTGTCTCAGGCTCTCTACAGACTCAGACAGACGTCACTGCCGAAGTGACCACATTTTTGAGGTGTGCTCCCCAACCATGAAGACTAGGTTTTTTGCGGCCTCTAGTAGCTTATTCATTAATCACACCCTGCCCAGATACCACTAACTCTCCCCCCCCCCTTCCCCACCAGCCTCCCACCTTCATCATCCACTCTGTCTGCACAGAAGAGGAAGGTGAGGAAGAATTTTAAGTGAAAGAAATTTACATAAGGACAAAAATCAGACATCCTAAATTCTCCCCCCTGCCCCTTCCCAGTCCACTTCATTTCCAGAATTTTGTATATGGCATCTGGGGAATCCAAAGCAGATGGCTTTGGGTTTGTATCTGTTTGTCTGTAGTGGGGCCTGCACAACTCCGTGTAAATGAGGTGTGTAAGCTATCTAATAGTGGATTCTTTGGTAGGTCTTTTAGGTACAGCTACACAGATTAAAAGACCTCTGGCACGGCTCCCGGTCAGCTGAATCAAGATCATGGGGCTCAGGCTGCGGGGCTAAAAATTGCTGTGTAGACATTTGGGTTTGGGCTGGTGCCCGAGCCAAACATCTACTCAGCAATTTTTCATCCCCGGAGCATGAGCCCGGTGATCTGGACTCAGCTGACTTGGGGCACCCGTGGTTTTTTTTATCCCTGTGTAAACATACCCTTATAGGGCTGGTTGGGGGAAAAAATAGTAAGCATTTTTGGGGAAAAACCAACAACCAACCAATCAAAAGCTTTTGAATGAAAGGCTGGTCTAAGCACAGTTTTTTATACTCGTTTTGCTATTTAAATCAGTATAAAAACTGTGTGTTGGACAAGCTTGAATTTTTGGTTCCATTTGAAATTTCTTTCAGGGCTTGGACAAAACTCGTTCCAGTTTGTTTTGTTTCGTGCTGAAAATGTTCACTTCGGTTTGTGTGTGAATGGTCATTTCGTTCATGAAGCTCTCTCTCTGTCCCCCAACCCCCCACAGCTCCAGATAAAGGGCTTTGCACAGCCAAGCCTGAGCTATCCTAGCAAGAGATCATCATAAGAGACAGACCTGCGTTAGCTCAAGACACCAGGAGGGAGAAGTTTGCTGCTTCCTCTCTGGAAAGGGAGAACTTGCTCCAGCTGGGGTGAGTTTAACCTATTTTCTGTCTCCAAGACAGCACCAGCTCAGGGGACAGAGAGGAGAGCCTGTACTGCAGACACCACCAAAGAGATACAGTACACTTGCCGCTGCCGGGACTGTCTGACCGCAGCGATCGCTCCTGCGCTACCACCCTTGGGTCCCCCAAATAAACCAGTTGTGCTACAGCTCCATTGTATCATGCTCTATCCCAGGAGTTCTCAAACTGGGGGTTGTGATCCCTCAGGGGGTCGCAAGGTGGTTACACAGGGCTTGTGAGCTGTCAACTCCCCCTGAGCCCCCATTAAATTAAATTAACCCCCCATTTTTAATTGATACACGGGGGAGGGGGAGTCACACTTAGAGGCTTGCTGTGTAAACCAATACAAAAAGTTTGAAAATCACTGTTAGTCGATCCCTTCCTCAGTCCCGTTGTCTTGGCTGTGATACCAGCTGTGCTTTGCCCCCAGACAGATTTACATCGCTTTGGTCCTTTATCTTGCATTCCCCCGGCAGAGACAAGGCAGGCGAGGTAATATCTTTTTTGATTGGACCCACTTCTGTTCCACGAGCGAGACAAACTTGGGCGCTGTCACCAGGAAGCTGCGGTTCCGAACCATGACTCAACTCCACGTAAAGCCTGTTTACAGGAAGGGAAACTCCCCTTTCTCGTTCAAGGGTCAGCACATTTCAGGGAACAGGGAAGTGAAATTAAACTGCTCTCCTGCCCGGGATGAGCCATGGCTGCTGCTGCAAAGGCAAGGCAAAGCCTCCAGGATGAAGCTTCTTGTTCCATCTGCCTGGAGTATTTTAATGATCCGGTGACTATAGACTGTGGGCACAATTTCTGCCGAGCCTGCATCACCCAGTGCTGGGAGGGATCTGATAAAGACGTCTCCTGCCCTCAATGCAGAGCGACCTTTCCCCAGAGGAACCTCCGGCCTAACTGGCAGCTGGCCAGCGTGGTAGAAATCGCCAAGCAGCTAAATTTGCAATCGACAAAAGATGCCGGAGCCGGGAGAGCGTGCGAGAAACACCAGGAGACTCTGAAACTCTTCTGTCAAGAGGATCAGTCCCCCATCTGCGTGGTGTGCGACAGGTCCAAGGAGCACAGGGCTCACACGGTGGTTCCTGCAGAGGAGGCCGCCCAGGAGTACAAGGTAGGAAGGAATGCTCGTCCAGCACAACTGTCTGATATTGCTACACCTCGATGTGTGAGCTGTTCTGTGCGGCAGGCACAGATCGGGGGAGAGGGAGCAGTGCCAACTTTAAACAGCTTTGTGCCCTCGGGATTCTGGGCTGGACAGAGAACCCTGGTGGTGTATTTTAGAGCAGTGGTTCTCCACTGGGGGTACGTGTCCCCTGGGGGTACGCAGCGTTCATCAACTCCTCTAGAGATCAGCCTAGTTTTACAACAGGCTACATCAAAAGCACTAGCGAAGTCCGTACAAACTAAAATTTCAGACAGACACTGACATATTTATACTGCTCTATAGACTATACACTGACATGGAAGCACAATATAGATATGCCAATCGATTTAGTTTATAATTCAATGGTAAAAATGCGACAGTCAGCAATTGTTCAGTCCTAGTGGCTGTGACACTTTTGTATTTTTATGTCTGAGTTTGTAAGCAAGTCGTTTGTAAATGAGGGGAAACTTGGGGGTAGGCCAGACAAACCAGCCTCCTGAAAGGGGGACAGTGGTCTGGAAAGGTTGGAAGCTGCTGGGTTAGAGGAGCCCTCTGGATTCCACATCAGTGCTTTAATGACAAGGGCATCCCTCACCTCCTTGTAATGGCGTCCCAACATCTGCAGGGCTGGCAATCTCCTTCCACGTGCCGGAGCCCCGTGTTGGCCTGAGTTTGAAAGTTACAGGGGAGTAACCACAACTTTTTCCTATTCCCCCTCGGGGCCCCTCTATGTTCCGGCAGCCCTGCCTGGGCAACGTATGGGTGAGGCTGCGAGTCTGTGACGGAGGTCACAGAATTCTGTGACTTTTCGTGACCTCCGTGACTTTTGCAGCGGCTGGTGCTGGCTCAGGGCTGGGGCAGGAGCCAGCAGCAGTTGTTTGGGTGTGTGGGAGGGGGCTCAGGGCTAGGGGAAGGGGGTTGGGAGTGCAGGAGGCGCTTACCTCGGGGTGGGGGGCTCCCCGGCTCCCACTGGCATGGCCCTGCAGCTCCTAGGCAGCCAGGGGGTGGGGGGGGGCGCTCCACGCCACATGCTGCTGGTGCCCACAGGCCCCTCCCCTGCAGCTCCCATTGGCTGTGGTTCCCGGCCAATGGGAGCTGCAGCAGCCGGCACTTGTGGCGGGAGCAGTGCGCTGGAGCCCCCTGGTCTCTCCACTGCCTAGGAGCTGCAGGGATGCGGAGCCAGGCAGGGAGCCCCTGCCAGCCCCGCCAACCTTCCTCCTCCCACCCCCACACCACCGCAAGGGTCCCGGGCTGCACACCGCAGCCTCCAGCACCAGTGGGGGTCCCAGGCCACATTCCCCAGCATCCACAGTGCCCCCGGACGCCCCCCCCCCCCCCCGCCCAAGTTTTAGTCACGGGTATTTTTAGTAAAAGTCATGGACAGGTCACGGGCCGTGAATTTTTGTTTACTGCCCGGGACCTGTCCATGACTTTTACTAAAAATACCCGTGACCAAAACGTAGGCTTCCATATGGGCAGCTCCCTGAGCCAGCACTTCCCAGAAGTCCTCCAGCAGCAAGTCCCAAGGGTCGCTTCCTGATAGGAGCCAGGGCTTGGAGCCAGAGGCGGATTTGCCATGAAACAAACAGTGAGGAGGCACGGGGCCCCCAATGACAGGGGGGCCCCCAAAATGCAGAGTCAATCTCATCTGATAACCTGCCCCTGAGTCCCGGCCGGCGGCGCAGCAGGGCGCAGGCAGGCTGCCTGCATTCCGTGGCCGGTGGCCCCACGCCGCTCCCAGAAGCCGACAACTGCTGGCACGTCTCTGCATGCCCCTGGCGGGGGGGGGGGCGGCTCCGGGCGCTCCCGCTGCTCCCGTTCCCCCCAAGGGGCACGCAGAGACATGCCAGCAGCAGTGCAGCAGGGCTAAGGTGGCTCCCTGCCCGTGCTGCCTCCCTCCCTCCCACCGCGCCGCTCCCAGAAGCGGCCGGCATGTGTCTGAGGCTCCTGGGCAGGGTGTCTCTGTGCGTTGCCCTGGACTCAAGTGCCGACTCCACAGCTCCCATTGGCCAGGAAGTGCGGCCAATGGGAGCTGCAGGAGCGGCGCACAGAGACCCCCTGCCCCACCCCCCGCTCAGGAGCTGCTGCCAGATGGGTGTGCCGGTCGCTTTGGGAGCTGCGCCACCCAAGGTAAGCGCCGCACCCCTGATACTTCCCGCACCCCAACCCCCTGCCCCAGCCCAGAGCCCGCACCCAGCACCCAAACTCCCTCCAAGAGCCCGCACCCCACACCCCCTCCCACACTCTAACCCCCTGCCCCAATCAAGGTACCTCACTTTATTTTCATTTACTTCCTATTACTTATAATATAGGAGGAGGATGAAGAAAAAAAAGAATGAAAAACGGGGGGGGAGATAAGAGAGAATGTTCTTTTTCTTGGCTGGGTCCTGGTGGGGTGTGTGTGTGTGTGTGTGTGTGTGTGTGTGTGTGTGAAACGAAGCTGCGCACAGGGCCCCACTAACTCTAAATCCGCCACTGCTTGGAGCGCATGCTGGAGTCTTAGGTTCAGTGTCCTGTCCTGCCACAGGCTTCCTGTGTGACCTTGAGCAAGTCCCTTAGCCTCTCTGTAAAACAGGGAGAACAGCACTTTTCTGTGTCGGTGGTGTCAGGACTGTGAGGTGCTCAGATCCAATGGGCGTGGGGGCCATGTAAGGACCTAAAGACTTGTCTACATGCGGAAATAGTGTAATTATACTGCTATAATTACAGCAGGATAACACCCCATGTGGGCCCTCAGGATGTGTCTACACATACACAGGAATCAGGAGGCGTGATGGGGGATGGCAGCATGTGTAGACATGCCTGAGCTAGCTTGCTGAACACAGCAGGGTAGCCACCGAGGCCACCCGAGTTCGGTCCTGTGCAGTACGTACTTAGAAAACTAGCTGGGGCTGGGGTGACTCAGGGTAACGCCGACCGACTCCGGCGGCCGGGATCAAACCTGGGACCTCTGGAGCTTAATGCATGAGCCACTGCTCCGTGAGCTAAAAAGACACGTGTTTCTTAGCCAAGGCCATAGCCGGCTCAGCAATCTCTAGCTGAGTTGTCCCCAAACTGTGGGGCATGCCCCCTCAGGGAGGAGCATCTGGAGGGGGTGCGGGGCGGGACACCCAACTCCGCTTTGCTCCCAGCTCCGCTGGCCCAGGCCCCAGCCGCAGCCCCCAACCCCAGCCCCTTTATAATCTCCCCTCAATGAGCCGAGAGAATTTGAAATAGATGGGAAGAGAGCAAGTCTCCCTCCGTCTCTTCCCAAAATCCTTATCGTCCCAGACTGGGCTTCCACCCCCACGTTGCTCCCTTATTCCTTTCTCTAGAAGGCTGGGGGATGGTGCCTGCATGTGTATCAGGGCAGAAGGTTGTCAAGGACCACTCCTCAATCCCTCTCAGGCTGGGGGCTGGAGAGAAGGGTGGAGGGACACCGCTGCCCGAAAGAGGCACCTAGCGTCAACTTCCCACTTCCTTGAGATTGGGGATAGGTAAAATGGCCTTCGCTATTGCTGGTGCAGTCCACTAGGACACTGGTCCCCAAGCTTTGCGGTGCAACCCCGAGGGGAGGAACATTTGGGGGGGGGCGCGGGGGGGGGGGGGCAGGGAGGTAGCACCACTCAGCCCTGCTCCGCCACCAATGCTGCTGCGGCTCCACCGCCAGCCATGGCCTTGGCTCACGGCCCCATGCCCAGCTCCACTCCCAGCCTTGGCCCCCAGCCGGGGCTCCATTCCCAGTCTGGCCCCAGACCCGCCCCAGCTGCATCCCTAGCCTCAGCCCCCTTACCACGGCTCTGCTCTGGCCTAGGGTTGCCAACTTTCTACTCACACAAAACCGAACACCCTTGCCCCGCCCCTCCTCTGAGGCCCCGCCAATGCCACGCCCCTTTTCCAAGGCCACGCCCCAATTCCCCCTCCCTCTGTCACTCACTCGCTCATTTTCACCGGGCTGGCTCAGGGGGCTGGGATGCAAGAGGGGGATGCAGGCTCGGGCTGGGGGTGCAGGGTCCAGGATGGGGCCAGAAATGAGGAGTTCAGAGTGTGGGAGGGGGCTCCAGGCTGAGGAAGGTTGTTGGGGTGCAGGGGATTGAGGGCTCCAGCTGGTGTGTGGCTCTGATGTGGGGCCAGGGATGAGGGATTAGGGGTGCAGGAGGCGGCTCCAGGCTGGGGATGAGGGGTTCAGAGTGCAGGAGGGGGCTCTGGGCTGGGGTAGGAGGCTGGGGTTGGGGGGTGTGAGGGCTCTGGCTGGGGGTGTGGGCGCTGGGGTGGGGCTGAGGATGAGGGGCTTGGGGTGTAGGAGGGTGCGC